CCGGTTATGATTAATAGACTTTAAATTAACTAATTAGTCTTCATCCAATTTGGGCATTCACAGTTTAATTTGCTAATTTGGGCTTCCCAAGGAATCAACAGCTTTCCTATGCGTCTAATAATGACTCGATTCGGATGGTCCAAAATGGATTACAAAGTATATGGGTTAACTAGAGACCTAAAATGGGCTGAACCCTTGTCTTCCATCAAATTGTCACTGTATATATGGCTGTCTTAAGTAACTTTTTCCAATGGGGTTTCTACTCCTATCAACTCCCCCTCCTCCTAGATTAGGTTATACCTAAAATGGGACGTTTAAAACTAAAAGAACATGAAAGAAAATGAAAAATTACCCAAGGGCCGTTTGGTAATAAAACTACTGCTGGTCAACTTCAGTTGTGCCTTCTTTCGAAAAACGAAATTTGACTAATTAAATCTAATTCCAGAAGTCAACCCAAAAGCCGGCAACTCTTGGATTGCTCCCAAGAACTTAACTACCCAAAATTTGTGCCACTCAGTCAAAATTTGGAAAGTGCAGAAAAGAACAATCAAACAAACGCTGAGGTGGCGAGTACGACCTTTATGGTCAACATCCACAAATCATTTCTTTCTTTTTTTTTACATCGACAAATCACATCTCTGAAAAATCTCTTTGTTATAATTTGGATTCACATGATGCATCCAAAAATATAGTTCAAAAAAAAAAAAAAGATTCCTTCAATTATATTCCGAAAGCGTGAGGTAAAAAATTCCCATGCTTCAAGTTCTAAGCCATCTAAAACCAAATCCTTAGCCAAATAAAACCAAGTCTACCGAGTAAATAAAACTAATTGTGTAAAAAGAAAGACTAAGTACTCCTGCTAAAACTAAACTAAATCAAGTTATTAGACTTAGTTCCATAATCCACTCAGAATTTTGTGAACAAAACCTTGACATCTTCTCCATAAATCTTTTCATAGAGCTGTAGTAATTCTTCTAATTCCCCACAGGTAAAGTGAACTCAACAAAACTTCTAGCTCATTTTGGAACAATCTCAACGTTGTCATCAACTCTTTCTTGATTTCTACTAAGAAGTCGCCTCATCAATTATCATCACCTCTTTCTGAGCAATCAAGGCACGCCGCAAATTCAGGCTTAATCTTTGATGTATTTGTCAGCTGCAATCCGATTTTCTTCACTTCTGGGAAACCCGTTTATGAGAAACTTCTTGGTTTGGCGTTCCCCTTAATAAACTACGACACTTACGTAACCAAAGCATAATAACAGTGCTGTAAAAAGGAGTTTCCAGATAAGGTTTAGAATTTTGTTCCGCACAAATAATACACAAACAAATAATTAAATAATTAATTAGGGCGGGAGAGGTTATTGATAGACAACAGCAAAAAGGAGCAAACACCTGTTGTTAAATTTTTCATATATATATATCTAGCGAATCTTGCATCAAATTAAATTGCGCGAAAATCGTTCAAAAAGTTGCTTGCATTTTGTCAAAAGAAATCTTTTAGTATTCACTTTAAAATATTGATTTTATGTTCTTTACAAATTCAAATTAACAAAACTTATTCTCAACCTAAGTTTCCATGAAATCACCCCACTACTTGCATGCAGTCATCTTTTATGCACGAAAAAGGTTTGCTTCTACTCTTTTTTAGTGAAAAAATGAATATGGATTGAGTCCTACCTCACTTATTTAGGGGAAAAAATGAATATGGATTGGATCAGATTCTACATTTTTAGGGATAAAAATAGATATGGATCGGGTCTTTAAAAAAAAAAATACAAATGGATCTAACCCTTTTTCCTAAAAAAGGATCATATATGGGTTATGTGATAAATTTAAGATAAAAAGTGGTCGAAAATTTAGATTGGAATCAAATTTTACTAATTAAATTTGTAATAGACATAAAATTATTATTTTAAAAGCAAATAATAAAAAAATTATTTGACAAAATGTGATGGACGTTCTGAATGATTTTTCTTTAAATTGTCTAAACATGTCTCTGTAACTTGCTTGGACCTACACAAATTAAAAAGAAAAAAAAAACAGAAAGAAACAAACATCTAGACCTCACGAGGTCCATGCTTATAGATTGGATTCAATTACGCCACCTAATATTCTGCTGTGATAAGAATAGGATTTGGTTGGCTCTTTCTTCAACTTTATTGAAAATGAAGTAAATAAACTATTTAGGTTGAAGTTTCAATGAAAGCCGTTCATATTTGACCAACCAAATTAAATTCTTTGTGCTTCAAAGTTCAAGCTATCCACAGATAATTAATGTCATAGGTTTGGTGAGATATAGAAAATTTAATAGTATGACAACTTGTCTATGTATGTATGTATAACTAGTTGAGCTACGATGTGTTGCGCACGGCAAGTGCCCACCGAAGAGTATTCAATGTATGAAATGATTCAATATTATATTCGTGGTAGTTGTAATCATATTTTTTGGAAAAAATAACAAAACGTAGAAGTGTTTTCATCATTTAGAGATGACAACGTAATTGGTGTTTAAAAAGAAAAATGTGCATATTTTTTTCACGAAAAACATTATTTTAGTAGTATAAAAGAAAATGTGCATGGTTGTTTTAAAAAATATACCAATTCCGTTAAACTCTAAAGAAGTATTTATTTTAAACTCTTTATATATGAAAAGGTAGTTTTTATTTCTGTTAGTTTGGAATAGTATAGTTCTTTTATTTATTTATTTATTTTTTGCATGACGTTGCACTATTGAATTATATTGTGAAGAAAACAAATAATTAGAGGACTGGAAGCTCATTGTTCGGAGATTTTCTTGACTCGCCTTGCGGACATTATGTGATAGAAATCTCTTTAATTTTCATCTCAAATAAGCTTGCCACCTATATATCTAAAAATCAGGGACAATATCTAAAAAATAATGGTAAAAGGTTTTAAACTCTGGCAAAGTACATCACAAAGTTAACAATCCCCACGGTAACTAAGAGGAGAACAATTGATAAATTCAAATCCAACAGCTCAAAATTGACAATAAAAAAGTATTCATTTAATAAAACAAAATAAAAATAAAAGAGTTTTGTTTCTCTTATACTTTTTTTTTTCAGAGCCATAGTATAAGTTTTGGTAGATTTTTTTCCCTCTAAATCCCAAACAAATAGAAAAACCTAAAATACAAATTCAAACACATGATATAGTTATATTTACTTTCTAAAAAAATAAGCCTGCATTTACACATATAGTTTGTAGGCTTTTTTTTAAAAAATTTTAATACTATAAAACAGATTCAAGTCTACATTGGTTTTCTTTTTCTTTTTTTTTTTCATAGCAAGTGGCTGGACTGCCCTTTTCTTACCATACTTCATATCATATCATTATTCCATGACCCAAAATTTGCAACCGGTTAGATTCTTATAATGGCAGAACAAAAGGTCAATGCAGCAAAAGAAATGCAAACTTCACCTCCCATAATGCTATACGGAAGTACCTGAAGGGGCTACGGTAGAACCAACTGGTTCTTATATTGTAAATAGTTAGATAGTTAGATATGCTGGATGTGAAAGCATTAGTTGATTTGAGAGGTAATTTTTAGGCACCTGTTGTTTCGCAAACATTTTATATGTGTAGAACGATAATGACTCTACTGCGACACATTACTGACATTCATATGTCTAAACCCATCTTTCCCTATACTCTTTTTTTTTTTTTTTTTTTTTTTTTTTTTGACACAAGGGTGTCTGAATCAACTTTTATGGAATCCGATTAATTTCCTGCGATCCAGACCCGACGCCACAACTCGACTCGAACGCGATAAGTGTTTGGAGGAACCCAGCGAAGCGGAGACTCGAACTTGAGACTTTAAGGATCACCGGTGAGAGGTGCTACCGCTAGACCATTCACGCGGGGATCCATCTTTCCCTATACACTTGAATTTCCATGTGAATTTCAATATTCTATTCAACAACTGGAGGGGGAAAAAAAGGATACATCATAACTACAGTATGAAGGACAGTAATTTTTCTGGCCCCAATCAAATACGGATGGGGAACAGCTAAACTCATTATTCTTACTGATACATGAAATTTCCTTCTCATTTTCTGGTTGCTCATGTGACCCTTATATGATACCTTAATTTCTTTGCAGGAATAAAGTACTGGTCAGAATTCCAAGCTTGATGTTGTCTGCGGACATCCACAGAGCGAAATTTTAGGTGGAGGGGCGGAACGGTTGTCAGATTAGGCCAAAAAAATTTATGCAGTTCAAATCACTCATTGTAATTTGATTTTTATGCCGTGTGGGACCCACAAAAGTGTTGTTCTAGTGTTATTCGCTGTTATTTTATTGTTACACTTTGTACAGATGATATTACATTGTGTGCGAATGGTGTTACACCTTCCGAAACGGTTACTTTGACAATCGTTCCAGCCCCCGAATCCAAAATTTTATGGAGGCATATGTAGTAATCGATTCAGAATCAATCGATAAACTTTACGCGGATACATAAGAACTTCACTTGCTAATTCACAGGTTAGGTGAAGTTGATTTTGGCATGTTAAATGAAAGCAAGTGTTAATTGATTCGGGACCAACTAACTACCTGGTAATTGTTTGGGATTGACATAAAATTTTTTCCAAGCATGATCTTATAGTGCCAGTTTCCTTTTACATCCTTGCTTTTGGGAAGCTTGGATACTTCTACAAAAAGATCTGTGCGTGATAGTCAAGGGTAAAAAAGTTTTTTTTTTTTTTTTTTAAAAAAAAAGGGGAGTAGTCCAGTGAGGTGCCAGGGAGTAGTACACTAAACGATGAAATGCCCGCAAATCTAGACAAATTGTAATTTATCCAAATCCCATAAAACTACGATAAAATACAACAATAGAAATACCGTATTTTCGTAACACTAAAATAAAATCACAGTAAAAAAACCGTCCCCAGCTAAAGCAAAAGCCATAAATTTTATTAATAATAATCGAGAATTATAAGGAAAATTTAAATGCAATGCCAAATTTGGCCTTGGTAGGTTGTCGTTGAGAATTGAGGAGATTTGAGACTAGAAAGCAGAGAGACTTTCCTCTGGTGCGCGAAATCGAGAGTTTGTCTTCTCTATTATTCACGTACACCCTGTTTCTCTCTCTCTCTCTCATCGTTATTTTTTTTTTATTTCTCTCTTTCTCTCTCTTTCTGTGTATACTTATATTTAGGGGACTTATATAGTTTTATGTATAATGTGCATCGGCAAGGGATTTTGCAGCTCGATCTGTAAGTTGTTTTAATCAGTTTTTTTGCACGAATTTTCGGTTGAATTTTTTTATCTGATGCATTGAATTACAGCAGAAATTTGGGGTGAATTTGAAAGCCCTAGATCTTACTTGATTCGCAGTTTGATTGGATCGAGTAGGGCGATTTTGGTTTGACCAAGTGGGTTTTGTAATTGGATCTGGAAAAATTACTAGCTAGAATTTGATAGGGTTTTAATTTTGGTAGCGGTGACTTTCTTTTTATTGTTTTAGTGAGAAGTATTCTCTAGGGTTTGAGTTGATGGCTTCGAATCCTCCATTCCAAGTGGAGGATCAGACTGATGAGGATTTCTTTGATAAGTTGGTGAACGATGATGACGATGACGTTGATCTTAAGGTCACTGCCACGTCATCGTTGGCTTCCACCGCCTCAGGGCCTGTTTTCACGGATGGGGATGAGTCTGACGAGGTTAAGGGCTTTGCGAATTTGAGTCCAAATGAGGCCGATGATAGTGATAAGAATGATAAAAAGATGGGAATAGATGATTTGGGTGGGAAATTAGAGAGGGAGCCGAATGGCGTGGTTAATGAAGTTGTTGAGATTGATGCTAAAGGGGCTGTGGCGGTGGAGGGTGTAGTGGAGGAGAGTAATGGTGTTTTGGAATCATCGAGTTCATTTGAGTTTGCAGGTGTAGTTGAGGAAAATAATGAAAATGTAGGTACTGAGGTTTTGTCTGATGCGACCACCTCTAGTAAGAGTGACGGATCTGGAGCTTTGGGTGTGAAGGAGGTGCAATGGAGTGCCTTTAATACCAAACAGGCTCAGAATGATAGTAATGGGTTTGGATCCTACTCAGATTTTTTCACCGAGTTGGGAGAGAAAGCTGGCGATTCAAGTGCCAATATGCTGAACAATTTTGATAATGAGATAAAGGGTATATCTGCCAATGAAAAACATGAATCTGCATATTTGGATAGCTCAAATTATGGGGATTTTCAAGATAGTTATAATTATGGTACAGCTGCACATAAAAGTATAGAGGGGCAGGATCTAAATAGCAGTCAATACTGGGAAAACCAATATCCTGGGTGGAAGTTTGATCCAACTACTGGTCAGTGGTATCAGGTGGATGGCTACAATGCGGGTGTAAATGTGCAGGGAACTGCAGACTCTAACCCAGCTGGTGATTGGACTGCTTTTGATGGAAAGACTGAGGTTTCTTACTTGCAGAACACTGCTCAGTCTGTTGCTGGAACGGTAGCTGAGAGTGGTACGACTGAGAGCGTCACTAACTGGAATCAAACATCATATCTCAATGATGCTACTGGGGCTGAATCAAATTGGAATCAGGTGTCTCACGTGAGCAGTACGGGTGGAACTACATCAGAGTGGAATCAAGGATCACAAGTAAAGAACGAGTACCCATCACATATGGTGTTTGATCCTCAATACCCTGGTTGGTACTATGATACAAATGCCCAAGAGTGGCGATTGTTGGATGCATATGTTTCATCTTCTCAATCAACTACTGGAGCTCAAGATCAGCATAAGCAGAATGTGTCTATGACAGATACTCTCTCTCAGTACGACGATCAGAAGACATTTGATACATATAAACAGAATGTCTCTATGACAGATACTTTCTCTCAGTATGACAATCAGAAGACATTTGATACATATAAGCAAAACCTGAATTATACTTCAGAAGGATTTGCTGCCCAAAGCCAAGATTACAACTGGGCTGGATCATTCGGTCATTTCAACCATCAAAATTCAAATATGTGGCAGCATGGAACTGCTGTTAATCCTGAATCCAGTACAGGTTATGGGCAAAACCAACAATTGAAGAACCATTATGGCACAAATGTTTTGGGAAACAACCGTGTTAATCAACAGAACTCTAGCAATTATGGGGGAACAATTCCTTATCATGAGAGAGGAAGTCAAAGTCAGAAAGAGTTTTCAGCAGTTGGTGGCTCAAAAAACTTTGTTCATGCGCCTAATTTTAGTCAGCAATTTTATCAGGCAAGTATTGAGCAAAGTGAACAGAAGCATGTCTCTGATGAGTATTTTGCCAATCAGAATTCAATTAATTTCCCCCAGCAACAGTTTAACGGTACCCATCAATTCTCTTATGCTCCGACCGCTGGAAGGTCATCTGCTGGCCGTCCTCCACATGCATTGGTTACTTTTGGTTTTGGCGGGAAACTTATTGTGACAAAAGGAACTGATTCTATTGGAGGCTCATCTTATGGAAGCCAGGTTAGCTGCATAAAAGTTTTTTTTTTGAATTCCTGTTGATTGATGATGCTTTCTCTGATACCAAAGTTTTTTGTGTATTCTCTTTAAAGAATCCTGTAGGAAGCTCCATATCCATTCTTAACTTGATGGAATTAGTAAATGAGAAAGATGGTGCTTCTGCCCGTGGATTTGGTGTTTCTGATTACTTTCGTTCTCTCTGTCAACACTCCATCTCTGGTCCACTTCATGGTGGGGGTGGTGGTATCAAGGAGTTAAACAAATGGATTGATGAGAGAGTTGGGATCTCTGATACTTCTGATTTGGACTCCAAAAAAGGGGAAGCTTTGAGGCTGCTTCTGTCTTTGCTAAAGATTGCCTGTCAGCATTATGGAAAACTACGTTCTCCTTTTGGTGCCGATACATTGTCAAAGGTAAAACTAGATTTTGATTTGTTACAAAGTATTTAATATTGATTGAATTTGTGGGAAAAGAATCATTACATTTCAATGTCTGTTGACTATAATATTTCATGAAATGTGGTTGGTGGACTACTGCTAGTTTTGTTTCAATTGCTTTTTGTGGTGAAACTTCTTTGGACCAAGCAGAAACCTGTGTTTTTGGTTTCCCTGAACTGTTTAACGAATAAAATCCTGAGTTGGAGTTGTCAAAATAATGGATAATAATTTGTGATAAGATTGAGGAAAAAAGTCTGAATTTAGATGTTTATTGAATGTCTCAAAAGGGGCAGGGGTTGAAAAAGATAAAGTATCTACTTTCAAAAGTCAAAGATGCTATTACATCCTGGTCTGGTGGTAAAGGGTGAATGTTGGAAGAATAGGAGTACTTGGCTTTGAGTTATCTGCAACAGTAAAAGAATATGATATTGGGCGCCATTTTGTGACTGTTTTAGGTTTTATCAGTTAGGCAACTAGTTCATGGTAAGCACAATGTAATTGGACAGTGGGAAGCCACCATGTTTTTTCCTCTCAAAATCATTGCTTATTCAATTCTTTCCTCCCACCCCCAACTTTCAGTGGCTTTATTTCCTTCCTTGCAGTTTTGATGCCAATCAGGTTGATTTTCCTGGAAGTATGAGTTTTCTGTTATAGTTTTTTTTCTCCCTCCTTTGATCTCCGATATTTTGGGGTATGCCTTCTCTTTCATTGCTGGTGATTGTAGGACTTATAGCTGCCTTTGGTTTCAATTTGGGCCACCTCATCCCTTTACGTCATGCTCTAGAGCCTCTTTAATAATGCTCATGTCGTTTTTCAAGAAACACAGTTTGGGCATATTCAGCTGCTGTCTATTCTTGATTTGAAAATATTTCAATCCCTTTTTTTGATGTTATTAACTTATCTTCACTAATCTTGGAGATTATGCATAGGACATATCTTTATCTGTTGTGTTTCAGAAGTTTATGTGAGGGTTTCTTCAATGGAAAACAATCATATTGTCTTTTACCTGTACCAAACAGTATTGATGACCATGGAATGTTCTCGTCTTTTCTTTCTGGATTTTTATTCTGTGGGTGATGGTTGGTTGTGATTCAGTGCACCGATTAGATGTTAAAACTTAAAATGAGAATCCTTGAGATTGACAAGTGCAAGGCAACTGTTTGTTGGCTCCTTTAGCTCTAGCTGATTAATCTCCTGGGATTGGGAGCCTTGTGGGGATTGCTGTTTCTCTTATAGTTAATAAAGTTGTCTATGAGAATTGGTCCTGTGCCTTTTTGCTATATTAGTGTCATCTTGAGATTTACATGGCTTCTCTGGCTCTTTTGGCTCTTGAAATTAACAGGAGAATGATACTCCAGAAGCAGCAGTTGCAAACCTTTTTGCATCTGCCAAAAAGCTCGGTGCTCAATTCAGTAATTATGGTGCGATTGCCCATTGCTTGCAAAATTTGCCTTCCGAAGGGCAAATGCGGGTATGTGTGTGGTACCTTGTGGTTGTGATTATCACTTATCCAAAGCACTTATAGATCACAATATTTGTTTAGGCCACTGCTTCTGAGGTTCAAAGTCTCTTGGTTTCTGGGAGAAAAAAAGAGGCCCTGCATTGTGCGCAAGAGGGTCAGTTATGGGGTCCAGCCCTTATTCTTGCTGCACAGCTTGGAGATCAGGTTTTGTCACTTGGACACTGTCTACCATATGAGATATTTCAGATTGGTTCTTCGCTATCTATATTCTTTGCAGTTTTATGCTGTCTGAGATTTGTTCTTCTCTGTGTATATTATTTGCAGTTTTATGCTGAGACAGTGAAGCAAATGGCACTTAGGCAATTAGTGGCTGGCTCACCTTTGCGGACCTTGTGCCTGCTAATTGCTGGACAACCAGCAGCTGTTTTTTCCACAGATGACTCAGCTTATAGCAGCATGCCTGGTGCTGTAAATATAGCTCAACAACCTGCACAGGTATCGGATTTATGAATGTGAAGTTTTGATTTTTCTTTTGGGACTAAAAGCTCATTCTGTTTTTGCAATTAAATATAATGGAAATACTGATACCTGATGGTCTGAGTATCTTGCGATTCTATCTTAGATCTATGTTGTTTGAGTATTCTGACTTGAAGTATTCTTACTCCATAGATTCCTGATTTTTCTGTAGTTTGCTGCTAAGGGCATGTTGGACGACTGGGAAGAGAACTTAGCTGTTATAACTGCCAATAGGACAAAAGATGATGAACTTGTGCTTATTCATCTTGGAGATTCTCTGTGGAAGGAAAAGAGTGATGTATGTATGACCAGCTTGTTTCTCCGTGTGGCTTCTGCTTCTTTTTTTTTTTGTTTTTTAAATTTGTATCAATGTTACTGAGCTTGGTTTTTCATCTTGTGGATGATGAATGACTCAGGTTGTTGCTGCACACATATGTTATTTAGTTGCTGAAACAAGCTTCGAGCCATACTCAGAAAAGGCTAGGCTGTGTCTTGTTGGTGCAGACCATTTGAAATATCCCCGAACATATGCTAGTCCAGAGGCTATTCAGGTGCGACTAAGCTGTCTAATGAATATGAAATGCGCTACTTGATATATAACTTCTTTGAATCAGGTACCTAATACCAATTGAGTGTGTTTTATTTGACTGACTTTTTGCATCTGGACAGAGGACAGAGATATATGAGTACTCAAAGGTACTTGGAAACTCTCAGTTTATCCTTGACCCTTTTCAACCATATAAGCTCGCATATGCACACATGTTGGCTGAAGTTGGGAGGATATCAGATGCGTTAAAGTATGGAAGGAAAGCTTTGAATTTTAAGTAATAGTTTTGATTCATTACTTCTAGTCTTCTTAAGAAGAATAAATTTTAATCCAGGTACTGTCAAGCAGTTTTAAAATCACTCAAAACTAGTCGTTCTCCTGAGGTAGAGACATTGAGACAATTGGCGTCATCTCTCGAGGAACGTATAAGAAGTTACCAACAGGTACCTATCCATCCATGGATCTTCATCTTATAGATATATTATAGTTACTAATGTTGAACTCTTAAATCTAGGGAGGGTTTTCCACAAACTTGGCCACAACAAAATTGGTGGGAAAATTGCTCAACCTCTTCGATTCTACTGCCCATCGCGTTGTGGGGGGTATGCCGCCTCCTGTTCCTCATGCACCAGGTGGCAGTATGCAAAGTCTGGAATACAATCAACAGATTGGACCTAGAGTCTCTACAAGTCAATCAACAATGGCAATTTCTTCATTGATCCCTTCAGGATCAATGGAGCCCGTAAGTGAATGGGCAAGTGATAGTAATAGGAGGACAATGCATAACAGAAGTGTTTCAGAGCCTGACTTTGGAAGAAGTCCCAGACAGGTTTGTTGGCCGACTTCTGTGTACATTCTAAAGAGTTGGAATTTTAAATTTTAGGTGCTTAATTGGTTTTGACAAAAATATTGCTTCTGGAGATAAAAATGCATAAGATCTTGCTAAATCATACAGGATCAGGTCGATTCGTCGAAGGGAGAGAGTTCTTCCAATGGACAAGGTGAAACAGCAGGTGGAGTTACATCCCGGTTCAGTCGTTTTGGTTTTGGTTCGCAGCTTCTTCAGAAGACTGTAGGTTTAGTCTTAAGACCGCGACAAGGCCGCCAAGTATGTCGTTCATGATATTCTGTTTTGTAAAGTTCTTTTGGTTTTCTCTGTGATGGGGAAAATTTTCACTTGATTTTTTGCATATAAATTGTTCTTTATGTCCTTTGTTAATTGTTTAGGCAAAGCTGGGTGATACAAATAAATTTTATTACGATGAAAAACTTAAGAGATGGGTAGAGGAAGGTGCTGAACCTCCGCCAGAGGAAACTGCCCTGCCTCCCCCGCCAACTGCAGCTTTTCAGAATGGGACATCTGACTACAACCTCAAGACTGCACTAAAAAGTGAAGGTTCGCTTGGCAATGGAAGCCCAGAATTCAAAAGCCCAACTTTGGACCAAGTTCCAGGGATTCCACCGCTTCCACCCACCTCCAATCAATTCTCTGCACGTGCTCGGATGGGTGTTCGGTCAAGGTAACTGAAGTCTAGACTTTGGTAAAGAAGCAAAAATAATTCTGAGGCTGGAAGCCTGGAAAACCATGTTCTCGGTCTCGCTTCAGCTAAGCATTCAATTTGATTTTATTTTTGTTGTGGTCCCTTTGGCAGGTATGTCGACACCTTCAACAAGGGTGGTGGGAACCAAACAAATTTGTTCCAATCCCCTTCTATTTCTTCCACTAGACCTGCTGCCAGTGCCAACGCAAAGTTCTTTGTTCCCACGCCAGTATCCTCCGTTGAGGATACATTTGACAACAGTTCTGAGAGCACTCAAGATACTACAATTAGTAATGAGATACCATCAAGCTCGGCTGTAAATGATACATTCCATTCCCCTGCACCATCATCCTCCATGAATATGCCGAGATTTGGAAGCATGGGCAGCATCTCTACCAAAGTGAGAAGTGCCAATGGATCCTTCTCAGCTCCTTCGCGGCGCACAGCATCATGGAGTGGAAGTTTTGAAGGAAACTCCAGTCCTCCTCAGAGGGCTGCAGTGAAACCTCTAGGAGAGGTATTAGGCATGCCGCCATCGTCATTTATGCCGAGCGATTCCTTGATGCACTCATCAGCAAGTGGTGGCAGTTTTGGGGATGAGCTTCATGAAGTCGAACTCTGATGCAACAAGGATGTACATAATGCGTTTTGCTGCTTCAGCCACTACGTCGCACAGCCTTGCTGAAAATACTTTCCCGAATGGCAGTGAGCTATATTGAAAGCCCATACGGAGAATCAAATAATTTTCTTTTTCCTCGCAGTTCATACTGAAAACCCTCGAAAAGCTCCTCGTTGTATGTCAAAAAGCATTTGGGTATGTCAGCTGTTTACCATAGTTTAGACATAGGTTATATTATCTCGTGGAATCTGGTATCTTAGGAGCTGGTGTTCTTATAAAATTTCAAAGAAATTGCAAGAGCACACCACTGTACAGTCATTTGTTCATTTATTCAAGAACCCCTTGAAGAAGCAAGAAGTGAACTTCTCAAGGGAAAAGGATAGTGTATTAAGTTGACAATAAGGTGCTTTCTCGTTAGTCGATTATAGGGTCTCAGATCAGAAATTCAAGCGGCTCAACAACTAAGTGGTTTGCGGTGTACTGGGCATATACTTCTACTGATTTTGCTTGAGATCCTGGGGCAAGAACACCAGCCCGCGCATCTGTAATTGTTTTATGACAAGTGAAATCAGTCTCCGTGTCCGTTGTTTTTTATGGGTTATTTTCACTTCTTTGTCCTTTTTGACGTGGGGGCTGGGGAGAATTGTTGCTTGAGACATCGCCTTTTCTAAAAGGTAGCCTTTCGATCGTTCCCATCCAACAGTAGGAACCACCCCTACCCACCAAACAAATAAAGGAAAAAGGATGTGGGAGTAAAAGGCTCATATTTTTCTTTCAGAGTTTTGCTTCAATTGGAATGTTAAAGATGAGGTTCGTCCGGTTTCACGTTTCAAACGTCTGATACAGCATTTGAGTTAGATTTGAGAGATTCCTTCAATCAATCATAGTACGTCTCAACAGAATCCATTGCATCTGATCGTTTCCAGTCTAAAAACATGCCTAAAATTTTAAGAACTCAACTTCACGATACTCCAGTGGTTTTCTCAAAGGCTTTTGACATGGAGAAGGCTCCTTTCTTTTACGAATTTTCTTCATTTTTCCCTTCTTTGCATGTTATCTTTCCTTTCAGAAGAGAGTCTTGCTTATTTCACGACCATAAAAAAAAAAAAAAAACCAATCTCAAGAACAGATCAACTTCAGAGTTTATTTATTAATCTTTTATGTTTACTAAGAAATCGCAAATATCAGGAAGACGACCCTCACCTCATGTGCTTACAAGATTTCAACGCAGTACAAATGACAGCAGCTACAAGATCCCAAAGCAATGCTTATCAACGTAACCCATAGCGCTGGATGATTTTTCTTGTTTGCAAATTTGCATCTTTTCGTAGCAAAAATCAAGAGCCCCCAGAAAGTTTTTGCGTAGTACCGAAGAAAAGTAGGTGGTGTGGTGTCAAGGAGAACTTTTTCGAAGGGCCAATATGCCAAAAAAAAGATGATGATGCCAGCTTCTTGCAAGATCATCATCCTCCTCTTCTTGCATGCAAGAGGAAGATCATCGCAAGAAAATTACGAAGAGAGTTACGGTAGTATTCTGTTCAAAGGTGAAATTCTGTTCAAACTTCAAAGAGCGAAAAGGATCGTGAAGAAAAGATTCAGAAAACGAGATGTCTGTTTTAGTAATAGATTAGATACGGCATGAGAATCCATCGTAGCGTAAAGACTTTTCATGCTTTGTGGTTATAAAGATAACCAAAAAAGGAGAAGGGAAAAAAAAAGTAACATGTTTGCAAATTGAACGTTTGCCACTACTGGCTTTGTGCGACATGGTCAAAACACTAATAGGAATTGTAACCAGAGTGAAGCAGACACCAAATCTAACAAAGAAACACCAAGATAAGGCACTGGAATAAATTCAACTACAGCATCTGACTTATCCATGTAACAAAAGACAGAGGTGATGATCAAATTTAAACAAATGATTGATCTATCAATATCTCTCCCCTCCAAATGGAAAAGGCTAATTATGAATGACAGGCATCGCATATACTATGTTATGAACCTTGTGTAACAAATTGCTAACTACTCGAAACAAAATTTTTTACCGTTCGAATCTGAACTTGAATCTTCTAATCAAAATACAATGCGAAACTCAGGAGGATAAGCCTTGATGGGTACCGACTACCAAGGTTGAATCAAAGTTACTGCATCTCTGAAGTCGGCGACACTAAAATTCAGCAGATCCAGGCGTTCGTGGAAAAGGTATTGCATCTCTTATATTATCAATACCAGTTGCAAATTGCACTAGCCTTTCAAAACCTAAGCCAAACCCAGCATGAGGCACTGAAAAGCAATTAAAGAACAAAACAGCATGTTTAGTCAAGGTCATTCAAATTAACTCCACAAGGTACCCTGAAAACTAGCTTTCAAACTGATTCCATGCCAAGAGTGAATGCAGCATTTAATAAGGCAGTGTATTGGAACATCAATGATAAAAATTAGTAGCTGCAAGTTATCATCTGCCACCATTTGAGACCAAGTCAAACCCCCCCCCCCCCGGGCCAGGGGGGATGATGAGCTGCATCTGCAGAACTTGTCAAATGAAAGGAAAATTGAAAGACTAACCTGAACCATAACGACGCAGATCAAGATACCACCAGTAGCTCTCTTTGTTAAGCTTTAAGCCATCCAACCGCTTTTCCAAATACTCAAGGCGTTCCTCCCTTTGGCTTCCACCAATAAGTTCACCAACCTGATAAACACAAGTATTTTCCCCAGCAATTAGTATTGCAGAAAATGTTTCGCAGCAGTAACAATAAAGGTCATTTCATTTTAAATTTACTTGTCAACTCCTATACTTAAGCATCCAAGGAAACATATAACCCAGGAAAAGGATAACCTGGTCCAAATGAATTAGCAAAGCCTAATGCTTGCAAAGGGTACCTTCAATTTCCTTTTTTCTTTTCCCCATTTTTCAATCTAAAAGATAATGCTAATCGCTAGCTAGGAAAAATTGCATGATAGGTTGAACTCTACAAAAACAGAAGTTTGCAACATATCATCAACCCATAGTGACCCATCTCACACACCATATGCAATATGCAATGCAAGTTTCATTACAGGTAACAAGATGATGTACTATGCCACATTGGGGCCTTCAGAATGGATATAGCATTTCAGAAAGATCCAACTTCCAAATGAGTCTAATTCAGCTGGTGAGTAATTTAAGTCTATATATACATCAACCTACTTCTTCTTCAAGTCGCTACCAAGAACAGAAAAACAAGAAAAAAAAAAGCACAGAATACCTGAGGAACCAGCATGTCCATGGCTGCAACTGTCTTCTCATCGTCATTTTCCCGCATGTAGAATGCCTTAATCTCCTGAAAGTTATTTCTCAAAGTCAACTTAAGTTCTTAATGCTTCTACTGTCAGCATAACTTACGACCCTTACGGATCAGCAAATAAACGTGCCTTTGGATAGTCTCTAATAATGACAGGGCATCCACCAAATGCCACTTCAGTGATATAACGCTCATGTTCACTTTGCAAATCACATCCCCATTTCACCTGTCAATGCAGAACTGATACATAGTTATGATAATCAGATCTCATTCGAGAGCTGTCTAAGTAGTCAATGATATGATACAATCTTTGCAAATGAATTGTTTTAGAAAGTGAATTGTAACGATCAGATTCGTAACAATAACTTCATAATATCAAGATTTGGGCATATCACAAATTTCAACTGGCAGCATAGCATGTCCAAGATAGGAAGACTAATAGACAAGTCTAAGACACAGCAAAGACTGGTAAGGTGGGATGAATACCGGAAATTCAAATTTCTTCTTCGCTTTTAATAGAAGGTCAATGGCATCAGTATATGTCAGCAGCACAAAACTTTTCTCAACAACATCCTGTTGGACAAAAAAAATAAGAAAAAGTAATTTCATGGCAAAGCAAAAACAAGTCTACAATCTTGAAATGAATTTCTTCAACAAAATATTAGCCATGTGCTTTCATTATTCGGTGATAGACAATTTTGAATTTAAAAAAAAAAAAAAAGTGCCCGGAATAGCCAATAGTTCATACACTTAGTCGACTGATGATTCCTTTTTCTATCCATGTGTTGAAGAAATCCATATCTTCCTTGCAATTCTCTAGAATATATTGCACCTTCAATGAAGAGTATTATACTAATTCACAAGTCCAATATAGAAAAATCAACAGCAAAAGAGAACAAGTGCAAAAAATAGTTGTTGCATAAAAGTCTAGAATAGATATGAAAAGTAACATACTACATACTGGAGATAGGCAGTTGCACAGGCCATGTCATCATCTAAATCAGCAAATGCCAGTTCTGGTTCAATCATCTTAGAAATGGAGGAATCAGTTTTAGCATTTAGCTGTCAGTTACCTCAACCATATACCATTAATTTCTCCCAAGGTAAAAAAGTACATGAATTGAAGCACGAGAAACAGTAGCAGCCTCAACATACCCAAAATTCAGCCAAGTGTCTAGAAGTGTTAGAATTTTCAGCTCTAAATGTGGGGCCAAATGTATAGACCTGCCAGAAAGTACATTACTTAATTTCGAGTCAAAATGCACAAAGCAGAACATGCAACATTCACCAGATGCTCTTCAGAACAGAATTCCTAAAGGGGAAAAATAAAGAAAGACCAATAGCTCATCAACTAGAGGAGTCTTAAAAAAGAGGACGTACATCAGAAAGAGCCGTTGCATAAGTTTCACCATTCAGTTGCCCTGATACTGTCAAGAACGCTGGTTTTCCAAAGAAGTCCTGTCATAAACAAAATTAAAAAAAAATAATAAGCAAATAACTAATTTGAGGTGCATCCAAACTATTGTATTTAATTGACAGCTCTACTCAAGCAAATTTCCTAAATAGATAAATCATACCTCCTCACCAAACACCCATTTTGCAACAGCCAAAAACCCCAAAAACAAATATAGAACTTAAAAATGCAAAGAGGCAAAACATGCAAAGGGCCCCATCACAAACCTAAGAGAGAAGGAAGAAAAATTAGGACTCGAGAGTTTCCTGTCATAACCTATCATTCAGCAATTAAAAAAAAAAAAAAGCCAAAGAAACAGTCCAAACAAACTTTAAACAATCTGGTTAAAAATTCACTTTGACCATTAGACCACACCTGATTCTCATCCATCCCAAACATTTTAAAATACACCTTCTATAGGCCAATGTGCAAAATATAGATGTATCAGAAAATCCGTCTAATGATTGAAAGAACCAAAATCCGTCTAATGATTGAAAGAACCAAAACATAGGCTTTTTCTGTACTCACTTGAGACCAATCAACAGAACCATCTTCAGTTCTTGGAATTGCAGCCACTGGAGAATCTGTGGTTTCTCTGGAACTAGGAATCTGTCCCGTGTAAAGTAACATTTTAGATGCAAAACTTTAAAAATACTACAAACAGCAAAAATCTCAAGTATCAAACCCAATAAAACACAATTCAAGAGCAGAATAAAAATTTATAATGCACTGGTGAAGGAAATTAAAGAATCATCTAACACATCAAAGATCCCTCTTTAGAGAATGGAAGAAAGGTCAGAGAGATAGCACTCAGACATGGTAACAATAAAAAAGAAAAGATTATAACAAGGAA